AAGGGGATCAATGTCGGTATGAAGACTAAGGTGAGCCTGATTCAGGTCATGGTCTTCTCAATCACCTGCTATGCATCTGAGAGCTGGACGATGAATAAGAATGACAGAAGAAGAATTAATGCCTGTGAGCTGTAGTGTTTGAGAAGAGTACTGAAGAGAGTAACAATAGAACACACAGGTATGTCTTAGGGAAAGTATAGCTGGGGTGCTCACTGGAGGCAAAGGTGGTAAATTCCTACTTTGGACATGTAGCTAGGCAAGGCTATTCCTTGGAAAGTGACATCGTACTTGGAAAAATAGTAGACAAGCGAAGGAGAGAAACGCCCCAATGAAATGGACTGATAGAGTGAATTCAGCAATGGGCTCTAGTGTGTCGGAGGAGATAAGGATGGCATAGGATAGGGCACGGCTCAGGTCTGTTGTTCTTAGGGTTGCTGTGAATCACACTTGACTCGATGGCACCTAACAACAACATAGATTTCCAAAGCTGTAATTTTTTTTAAAACTCTAAGCTGAAAGTAGTGGCTCAAAGCAGTGTTGCAATCCTGAAGGTTCCTGGTTCGAATCCACCAGCTGCTCCACCAGAGAGCAATGAACAATCTCCTCCTGTGCGATTAACTGCTCCTGAAAACCTGCCAGAGAGACAGCGATGGGTCAGTTCCAACTCGAGGGCACACAACAACAACTGTATGAACACAATAATAATAAAGTTCACATTCTTTAATTGTTAAACATTAAACACCAATGGCTCCCAGAAGGTGGTGATGATCTCTCATGGTTCAGAAATAATTCAGATGTCTGACAGTCTGTGAAAGTTTTTCTTCTTTTCAGAAGTCTTGTCGGATGTTTTGTTTGCCTCTCCACGTTGCTGCTTTGTTTGATAGATTTCATTTTCTAGTTGTACAATGCTCTGTTCAATCTCCTAATGCTTATCAACCAGGGATACCCAAGTTGCCTCCATTTCTCTCAATTTAGTCCCAGCTGTTAGTTGCATGTTCTTTCACTGCCAGTTGAAATCTTGAGTATGTTTCCTTAATTTCTGGAGCTCTTCTTTTTTTTTTTTATGTGAACCAGATTTTCATTGTGTCCTTTCCAGGCATTGCGTCCATGCTGCGACATTAGTTTTAGCTTCTCAGTTCGAACGGCTACTGGGCCATAGGATTATTTACACATCCTGGACATGCAGGAATAGAATTTTTCTGGCCCGAGGAAGAGACTGGAAGCTCATACTGTTTTGTACTGAGCAACTCAGTTGGTTGTCGAGCAGTCGGTCTTTCAAATTGGTTCCTCATTATGTTGATTTCAAAAAGCAGAATGATCTGGGGCTGTAAGGTAGAGCAGGTAGTTCTTTGTAGGTCGGTATCTGTCCTCTTCCACCAGCTCCGCAGGCACCTTGCTTACACCGGGTGCTTCATAACCTTGATCAAACAGGGCAACACATCCACCACAGCCTCTCTGGCCACTAAACCTTTGCCTACAGTTATGATTACTTAAGATTTGATGGGAATCTCAAGGCTGTGATCTTAATGAAAGGAGACGGGCCCCTTCTTTCTCACACGGAGTGGCCAGTGGAGCCAAATGTCTGGCCTTTTGTCACCACGTGCTTTAACGCTGTATCACCAGGACTTCTTATCTTTCAAACAGAACTTGTATGTTCCTTGGGGTTATGCCAACTTTGTTGTTGTTATTATGTGCCATCGAGTTGCTGGTGACGCATAGTGACCCTATGTATAACACCTCTGAACCCTGCCCTACCTTGGCCAACCTTGTTATTTCTGACACACCTATCCACATTACCCAAGTCACTGAGTCAATCCATCTCGTTGAAGATCTTCCTCTCTTGCACTGTCCCTCTCCAAGGACTGATCCCTCCTTGCAACCTGCCCAAAGTATGTCAGATGGAGCTTCAGAATCCTTGCCTCCAAGGAGCAGCCTGGTTTAATCCTCCCCAGGACAGACCAGTTTGTTCTCCTTGTGTCCCCTGGTATATTCAATACTGTTTTCCTGCACCACAGCTCAAAGGCATCAATTTTTCTCTATCATCCTTAGTCATTTTTCCAGCTTTCTGATGCACAGCAAGTAATTGTGAAGACCATGACATGGATCAAGTGCACTTTAGTCTTAAAACTGACACCATTGCTCTTCTGTAGTCTGGAGAGTTCTCTAATAGCAGACTTTCTCAGGATGATTTGCCTCTTGATTTCCTGGCTGCTGGTACCAAGACTGTTGATTGCAGAGCCAAACAAACTGAAGCCATTAACAATCTCAATCTCTTCGTCTATCGTAGTACTGCCAACTGGCCTTAATATTTCTTTTTTACTCCACAGTACTTATCACAGGGGTGAATGTGAAGGAAATGCTCAATATATATGTGGTGGCTGATCAGCTCTGACTTGGGATTTACTCTTCTAACAGGAAATGTAGTCTTAAAATTGAGCCTGTGCTTAGAGGTAAAGGTCTCCAGCAGCAGATTTCCACCCAAGCATTTCTAAAGGTTGCCGTGTATTAGAGTGGATCACAAATGACCTGCTGCTACTTTTCAGGACAAGATGGCCTGGACATAAAAAAGCTTAGTGACATATCTCTCTATCTCTGTCATCTCTATCTCTATCATCTCTATCTCTATCTCTATCTCTATCTCTATCTCTATCTCTATCTCTATCTCTATCTCTATCTCTATCTCTCTCTCTATCTCTATCTGATAGCACAACCCCAAAAACTTCCCTTTTGTTGACCATCCAGACCAACATCCACAAGCATCACAAAGCCACATTCCCAGAGTGGAGGTTTCCAGGCCTCCACTGGCATTCCCTCCCTACCCCTGTGGGGTTTTAAGCATCCATTTCCTAAACCCCATGCCTCTGGAAACTCTATGAACCTGGTGAACTTATGACAGTTATGGAAAGGCAGTAGGTCTTTTGTTCATAGAGTCGCTATGAGTCACGCTAGACTCTGGCAATCAACAACAACACACTCTCTCTCTCTCGCTCGCTCTTTCTCGCTTTCTCTCGCTCTCGCTCTCTCTCTTGCTCTCGTTCTTGCTCTCTCGCTCTCTCTCCACATACCAAAATTCTATACACATCTGGAGGAATAAAGGGTCTGAATAAAAAAATAAATGAGATTTTTCAGTGTGACCACTGGGGGGCACTTACTTTTGAGTTATTTGTAGCACTTTTGTCCTTATTTAAACTGGAGAACAACTTGGCAGCTCAGCAGAACCTGCTGTGTTTAAGAGCGTTCTTTCTGTGAGTGCCAGAAAACCAAGAATGATGACAGCCTGAATGTCTTTTATTATTTCATGTATGAAGGGGCAATGGAGACAAAATCATTGATGCCATCAGCCTGAGTCTAAAAATGCTGACGTGGAACCACAGTGTTGTAGCTTACAAGAAAAACAAAAAGAATGCAGTGCTACGAAATACCAAAGTCTTTTAAAAAAAGTCACATGCAAACTCTCCCGCCCACACCAGAACCATATTGATACACATTTTGTTGTATGATATTGATGACTATTCCACTTTTCAACTCCTTAAATACTCTTCCACTTCGTCATTGTGATTCTCGTTTCCATTCATTCCTGTGCCTTCTTTTCTGTCTTCTGAATTTTCTCCTTCAGCAAATGCTGTCTTTTTTAGAACACACAGTTGGTTACCCTAAGGACTGTACACCTCCCTGGTGGTGGTGTTCACCTTGGAAGCCTGTCTCCTCTTTGCCTAAAAGCTGTTTTCAGGTTCAGAAGAGTGACTAAGATCCATAGAATTGGGAGCTCTATTAGTTTCTGTCATACCAGCAAGCCTGACCATTTTTTAAATTTTATTTTATTGGGTTTTGTGTGTGTGTGTGTGTGTACTGTCAAATTGGGTCTGGTTAGTACAGAAAGAGATTGCCCATCCTTCTCCAGCAGGCATCTGGTAGATTCGAACCGTGTACCTCTGGGATTACAGTGTAGCTTCTTACCACTAGGCCACCAGAGCACCCTTAAACCTGACCATTTTTATGATTTTGAGTTTTGGTCCTTATTTTTGCCCACTCTTCCCAGGACTTTGGACTATGATCCCTTTCAGAGAGGTTGGCAATGGTAGCTGGTCACTGTCTCATTCTCCTAGCCCGTGAAGTTCTTCTAGAGTCATGAAGACTGAAATCCTTGAGGTCTTTTAGTACTGTGATTTATGAGTTTGCTTGTTTAGTTGAAAGGCGTGGCCTCTTCAAAGTATGTGGTTCTAATCCACTGACTGCTCTGTGAAACTGTTGAAACCCAAACAGCTATGTCACGGGAAATGTGCAGCCAGAGTGTTCCTTAGAGGCAAAGATGGAGAAACTCTCTCCCACATACGGTGAGCATGTTGCTTGCAGAGGGTGTACCTTGGAAAGGGATATCATCTTTGGTAGAGAGTCAGCAAAAGAGAAGAACTCCTGCTGGATGGGTTGATGCAGTGGCTGCAGCAATGGGCTTGAGTGTGTAATAGATGATGAGGGTGGGACAGGATAGGATGAGATTCAGGTCTGTTGTTCATAGGGTCACTAAGAGTCGTACTCAAGTCAATGGCACCTAACAACAACAATTAGTACATAGTTCTAGAGTGGAGGGACAGCGCAGGAGGGGAAGACCCTCTATGAGGTGGATTGATTCAGTGACTCTGGTAATTGGGATGGGTGTGTCAGAGGCAATGAGATTGGCACAGGATAGAGCAGGGTTTAGGGCTGTTGTACATAGGGTCGCTATGAGTCGCAAGCGACTCAACGGCACATAACAACGTAACAACAACCTAGTACAGCACACAGTCTAGTCTATACAGTATGGTATTAGTACATAGTCCACTCATTCTTTCATTTTCGTCACTCTTCTTTGCTCGTGGCAGGAAGAGACCAAAGGTTGCACTTTAGTTGCTTGCTTGCAAACTTTTAAGACCCTGGTGGCCACTCACCAAAGTAGGAAGCCAGTCAAACTATAATTGTAACTCACAGCCTATTTCTCATGCTGTCGTCTTTATTCTTCCTAGTATCTGAACACTTCCTGTCGTCCTATAATATTGACTGCAGTTTGGAGACCAAGAAAGAGGTGGTCCAGTGCATGGGCTCTTTTCAGGATGGAGTGGCCGAGAAGTGTGTGGATTATTTCCAGAGATTCCGGCGTTCCACCCACGTGACACCTAAATCCTACCTCTCCTTTATCCAGGGGTATAAGTTTATCTATGGAGAAAAGCATGCAGAAGTGCAAACCCTGGCCAACAGGTACGTATAAAGACCAAATAGGAATGAGTTTAAAATAACAGTTTTCAACCAGGGGCAATTTAGCCCTTGAAGGTCATTTGACAATGACTAAAGACATTGATTCTTTTTTTAAAATAGCTTTGGTACTGAAGTGTGTAAATGCATCAGGCTTTGAATCCAACGGTCGGCATTTCAAATCCACCGACTGCTGTGCAGAAGAAAGATAGACAATCTCTTCCCTTAAAAATTTACAGCTTTACGAACCCATTAGAAGGTCATTCTGAGTTGGAAGAGACTGGACGACATTGAGAAGGAGAGAGAGTGATACCACTAACAAGTGCTTTTGTGATGCAGTCACTTAAGCAACTTTGCTGCTCACCAGAAAGAGGATGGTTTGAACCTATCAGTTGGTCTGTGCGAGAAAGATATGATGGTCTTCTTCTAGAAAGATTTACAGCCTTGGAAACACAATGGGGCAGTTAAACTCTGTCCTCTAGGGTCACTGTGAGATGTAATCAATGTGACCCAAGTGGGTTGTTTTGTATTCAGTGATGCTGATATTTGGAGTAATTAATTGTTCCATCAAGTCAACTGACTCAACACTGACCTGTCAGTGGCTTTTCAGAGGCTGTAAATCACCTGGGAGGAGATTGTCTCATGGAGCAGCTGGTGGATTCGAACCACCTGCCCTCAGAGCCGTCAGAATTCCTTTGACCTTTACAGTAGAAGTCATGGATTCTGCTAAACACCTAAGATACACAGGGCAGCCCCCTCAACAGAGAATCAGTATCGTTATTGCTAAGGCTGAGGACCCCGGCTCTGCAGCTGATCCTAGAGTGTTGTTTCTTGCGTCCTACCGTGGACTGACTACCAGTAGGTTGAAGAAATTTGTCTTGTGAGATGTCTTGCTATAATACTGCTTAGAAGCAAGGAAGGAAAAACTTTACCTCACTTATTTTAGACATATTGTCGGGAGAGACCTGTCAGTCCCAGAGAAGAATCCATGTTTGATAAAGAAGGTCAGTGAGAAAGAGCAACACCAAGGCAAACTAGGAGATGGATTGACCCAGTGTCTGCAGTCAACGGGCTCCAATATAGCAACAAATGTGAGGGTGACTCAGGACTGGGTTTCACTCTATTTACAAAGGGTCACTATGAACTGGCACTGGCTCAATGGCCCCTAAGAATCCGACAGGGTGGACAATGCTAAGTTCTTAGTAAGTCAACAGATTCAAACTATGAGCTGCAATACTATGCAATCCTATGGGGCAGAATATAAAATGATCCAAGAAGCATTAAAAAAAGATTAAAGGAGTGTACAGAGTCATTGTACCAAAAAGAATTGGCTGACAAAGAAGAATGTCAAGAGGCATTGGTGATGAAAGAGGAAGTTTAGACTTAGTGGAAAAAAAAAGTCCCAGGAATTGGTATGATACGAATTGATGTATTTCAACAAACAGATGTTGCCCGGGATGTGCTCATCAGGTTGTGTCACGAAATCTAGAGGACCACCACCTGGCCAATTGCCTGGAAGAAATTCATATTTATTCCCATTCCAAAAAATGGTGACGCAACAGAGTGTGGAAATTATCGAATAATATCACTCATATCACACACAAGCAAAATCCTGCTGAAGATTATTTTAAAAAATCACTGGAACAGTACATTGACAGAAAACTACCAGACATACAAGCTGGGTTTAGAAGAGATTGTGACACTAGAGACATTATTGCCAATGTCAAATGGATCTTGGCAGAGAGCAAAGAGTATCAGAGGAATGTTTATCTGTATTTCATTGACTATGCAAACACATTTGACTATGTGAATGACAACAAATTGTGGCTAAACTTGAGGAAAATGTTACTTATAGAACACTTGATTGTGCTTATGTGAAACTTGGACCAAAAAGCAGTCCTCAGAACAGAGCAAGGAACATGGCATGGTTCACAATCCAGAAGGGAATATATCAGGGATACGTCCTGTCTCCATACCTTTTGAATCTATATGCAGAACAGATCATTCGGGAGTCTGGGCTTTATGAGGGGGAATATGGCATCAGGATTGGAGGAAGGCTTATCAAAAACCTATGTTATGCAGATGACACAAACCTGCTTCCTTCATCTGAAGAAGACCTGAAGCACTTCCTGGAGAAGGTCAAGGGCTGCATGTAGTCTTCAGTATGATTGAAGCTCAACATAGAAAAGAGATTCTCACTGCTCACTCAGCCAATTGGTACTGACATGATGCATGGAGAAGAGATTGAGATTGTGGAGCTGAACAAGCTGTAATTTTTTAACAATTTTTTAAAAAAAATCTGCTGTCAGGGTCCTCTCCAGAGTACTGAGAAGCAACAGTGTTAGTCTAGAGACTAAGGCATGCTGATCCTGGTCAAGGTCTTTGCAGTTACCTGCTATGCACCAGAGAACTGGAAAATGACTAAAGATTACAGAATAATCAATGCCTTTGAGTTATGGTGCTGGAGAAGAGTCTTGAATATACCATGGACTGCCAAGAGAACAAATTGGTCTGTTCTTGGAAAGAGTGAAACCAAGTGTCTCCTTCGAGCCTAGAATTTTGAAGGATTCTGGGACTTCATCTGACATACTTTGGACATGTTGTAAGGAGGGACAGGTCCTTGGAGAGAGACATCATGTTTGGGTGGGTGGAGGGATGGCGCAGGAGGGGAAGACCCTCTACGAGGTGGATTGATTCAGTGACTGGGGTAATCAGGATGGGTGTGTCAGAGGCAATGCGATTGGCACAGGATAGAGCAGGGTTTAAGGCTGTTGTACATAAGGTCGCTATGAGTTGCAAGCGACTCGATGGCACCTAACAACAACAACATCAAATACTTTGGGCATGTGGCCAGGAGGGACTGGTCCTTGGAAAAGGACCTCATTCTTGGAAGGGTGGAGGGACAGCACAGGAGAGAAGATCCCACATGAGATGGATTGATAGAGTAACTGGGGAAATGGGGGTAGGTGTGTTGGAGTCGGTGAGACTGGCTCAGGCCAGGGCAGGCTACAATGAGTTACAGGTGACTTGATGGCACATAACAACAACCACAACCACAACCAGTTTCTTGGTTTTTTAGGAGCCAGAGTATTCCTTAGAGGTAAAGATGCTGACATACTTTGTCTCACACCCTTTGCCAGAAGGGACTTACTGCCAGACGAGACTGGGTGATCAGAGAAGGAGAGGAAATTGCCTATCAAGATTGATGGACACAATGACTGTAAAATGGGCTGACGGGGATGGTACAGAATAGGGCAAGATTCAGATCTGTCCTTCAGAGGGTTACTGTGAGTCAGAGTCTATTTGACGGCACTTAACAGCCACCACCACCACTTTCTATGAGGTGGTGGTGGTTCAGTGGTAGAATTCAAGCCTGTGCCTTTATCCTTCCCATCAGACACTCTTGGGTATAATAACATTTGCAGCATATTCATTTATGAAATACAATCATCACTACTCTTAGTAAAGGAACCCTGGTGAGGTAGAAGGTGAAGTGATGGGCTGTTAACCAAAAGGTTAGAAGTTTGAACCCACCAGCTGCTCCATGGGAGAAAGGTGTTAGTGGTTTCTTTACACTGAGATTTACAGCCTTGGAGGTCTCATGGAGGACCACCATGTGCCACCATCAATCAATTCTGCAGTGGTGTGTTTGCTTTAAACGCATCTTAGTCTAATTGGAAAATGTGGCCAAGTACCGTATATTTTTGACACTGCTGGCTTGGACTTTTAAATCCTAGAATGAATACTGGATTGGAAAAACTCAAAGAGGCATCAGAATCAGTTGCAGCCTTGAGCAAAGAACTAGAAGTGAAAGAGAAGGAGCTGCAAGTGGCCAATGAAAAAGCCGACACGGTAGGTGGACATTTACATGTCTATCAGATTCCTTTAGCATTCTGGGCTCTTAATCATTAATGGTATGTGTATAATTGCTAGTATATCACCTACGAGTGTACTTTTAAAAGAATCCATTACAGTGAAGCACTGTTAGTTTTATGTATGAAGAACTGGGTGAGTGGATGGAATCAACGAGTCAAGGCAAATATGTGCCTTTTCACCTGGGTCCTTTGTACCTGTTAAGGAGATATTTGCTGGGTTTTGTTTTTTTGTTATTGTTGTTTGTTTCCTACAACTTAGGTTTTAAAAGAAGTTACAATGAAAGCACAGGCAGCTGAGAAGGTGAAAGCCGAGGTCCAAAAGGTGAAGGATAAAGCCCAGGCCATTGTAGACACCATCTCGAAAGATAAGGCCATTGCCGAAGAAAAACTGGAAACAGCAAAACCAGCTTTAGAAGAAGCAGAGGCAGCCCTGCAGGTATGTCTGTGTGATACAGCAGAAGAGCTTTAGCACCCGGGAGGCAGACTGTGGCACAAAGGTTTGTTATAGCAAAGGTTTCGTTTAATGCTCCCATCACTGAAATGGTTTCTAGCAATTTTCTGGTTGAAGACTTGCTGAGTTCTTTTAGGTTTTGCATATAGTCCCTGTGGCACCTCATTCTTCACTGGCACGTGATGATCACTGTCAGGATGGTGGTGGGGAGCGCTGTGTCTCATTTCAGTTCTGTCCTCAATAAGATGTGTGGTTTTGAGAAAGTCACATCAACTCTACAGGCTGTCATTCACTCATTCACGGAAAACACTGAGGACCTTTGAGATGCCTTATTTAATTTAGCTTTTCTTTTTCTGTGTGTGTGTGTGTGTGTTTCTTTTTTTAAAACTTTAAAAAAATTTATTTATTAATCTTAATGAAAGTTTACAGAGACTTAGGGTTTCCAGTCATTCATTGTTGCACTTCTCTCCCTGCCCACCCCCCTCCCCCCAAATTTACTCTTCTCCTTGAAAAGTAAAACTTTTTCATTGTTATGCAGTCCCTCCCCCAAGTCCACTGCACTGTGCAGCCTTCATTCTGGACTCCTGTCATGACAATAATACCTAATCATATATCCCTTTAAAACAGTTCTCTCCCTCATCTGTTACAGTGCAGTATTCATCATGTCGAGGAACCCTTGTGATATAAGATGCTTCGTGTTGGACACTAACTTAATGATCAGCAGTTCGAATCCACCAGATACTCTGTCAGGGAAAGATAGGTAGTTTTTCTTGATAAAAGGTTGCCATGGGTTGGAACCAACTCAAAGTTAGTGGGTTGTGTATGTGTTAGCTAAATAAATAACTACTGACCAGTGTTAATATATCTAATTAGAGGCAGAATTTGAACAGACATCTAACACATGCAATCAGTGCAATAGTGGAAGGATTACCCAATAGTCAAGGTCCACATGAGAATTTAAGTGTGTTTGCTTGCTGATTTACAGTAGTTTGCGCTTTCAACTGGATTTCAAAAAATATGGTGAAACCTAGTTGAAATTGTTTACTACACGTTAGTAACTGAGCATGTAAATACTTTGCTTTTTAGTTAATCTGTCCCTGAGTTCAGTTGCTGAAATTATAAAGAAAGTTGGGTTCACTGATACAGTGTGTGTGGTAAGCCAGAAAATATGTTGGGGAATGGTCCAGTTTTGAAGATTTAATTTAAGATCATTAAAAACTCATTTTAAAGTAGCTTTTCCTTTAATCTTACTCATCATCTACTCTTTTACACACTGCTAATTCAAGTTATTAGATATCTGAATTGAGCACGTATTTTTAGCTGATAATGTAATTACTCTTTTACCAGTTCCTTAACATACTTCCTGCAACAATTCTGCACCTTTTGGCCCACATTAAGTTGTTAAGTTTCCTGAGTCCATATAATACATGGCTTTATAGGTTTTTTAGTCAATGAAGATATTGCCTTTACTCTTTTCTTCTCCCTTTTTCACACCGTTTTTATATATTGAGATATCTTTCCTTCTATGTTTTCCTAGCCCTAGAGTTTTCAGTGTCTGGTTTCTGAGACTTAGAGGCATCGTAATCCCTTTTTATCTCTTTGGTTTACTTGAGAGTTTCTGATCAATACAGAAAAAAGGATGACAGCACACAGGAACACAGACAACTTTGTTGAACTTATGTTATCTTCTGGCATCACAGAACAGAGCATCTGGTAACTAAAAATCTTATTAAATGGCTAAAGCTTTCAAACATTTGGGAAGCTTTCCATGCCTTTTGATATTATGTTTTCCAGCATCCTCCTCATTCAGTGATCTCTACCGAATAAGTAAGATGAAGTCGTTGACAGTTTCAATCTTTTCTCCATCTAATGGAACTTTTCTAAGCAGGTATTAGAAATTGTCAATTCTGATTCATTCTACTACTAAGAATTTACCTTTACTTGCCAGATATTCAGAATCATAATCTAAACCTTAACAAGATCTCCAGATGAATCTTATTTCTATTTGATGTTCTCTAAGAATCATTTGGGCATATAGTTAAGCCATAGGTCTGGATTCGGCATATCTGAGTGTGACACATGAGTGGGAATAGGAATCGTTGTTGTTAGGTGCTGTCAAGTTGAGCATGACTCATAGTGACCCTACAAACAATAGACTTGAACCTTGTCCTACCCTGTGCCATCCTTACAATTTCTGACACACTCAAGCCCATTGCTGCAGTCACTGTGTCAATCTAACTGTTTGAAGGTCTTCCTCTTTTTTGCTATCCCTCCACCTTCCCAAGCATGGTGTCTCTTTCCAGGGAACCAAGGAACAAACTACACTAACAGCATGCCTGAAGTATGTGAGATGCAGCTTCATCAACTTTGTCTCCAAGGAGGACTCGAACTGCACTTTCTCCAAGACATACATGTTTGTTCTTTTGGCATTCCATGGGATATTTAGTACTTTTCTCCCACACCACAACTCAAAGCATTAATTCTTCTTCTGTCATCCTTATTCATTGGTCATCTCTCAGCTACAAAACAAGTAGCTGAAAAGACCATGACCTGAATCAGGTGCACCTTAGTCCTCAAATGCAAATTCTCAGCAGATTGTCAAACTAGAATGAACCAGTTCAAAGCCCTGTGTCTAAGAGCTTAGTAGAATGTGTTTTGTTCTAGTTTCTTTATTAAAAGTTCAGGTCTCAGCTAAGAAAGCTCTAATTACCCAGCCTGTCAGCCCTGCACCTTCAGGCTAGTGTCAGTTCCCTGTGACAAGTCAGAGTTGCTTAAGACACAGAGAGAGAAAGACAGGTTCTTGACCTACATAAGTAATGAGTAGGACAGTACTCAAAGTCGTCTAGATTTTCCCAGGGTTAGTGTCCCTGATAGCTACTTCATTTTCGTTAAGATCACACATTCCCCTTCCTGACACAAAGTATGATTTTAGGGAGTCACAGCTCTTCACGTCTGTGACAGACTTTCTCTCTTCTCACTGACCATGAGAAAATGTTCAAATGAAAAAAAACCTCAACTTTTCCAGGTGCATACTTAAAAAAAATTGTTTTTGCATTAAATATGCTTCAGACTTTGCATCTAACTTGAAAAAAATATTACCTGCCAAAGTTTCTGAAGCCATGAGAGCTGGGTGTTGGTTTTGTTTGTTTTTTTGTTTTTTTTTTTCTTGTGTGTACCATCAAATTGGATCCGACTGGCACAAGAGGAGATTGCCCCTCCTTTTCTCCAGTGGAGCATTGGGTGGATTTGAACTGTGTGCCTTCAGGATCACAGTGCATCTTCTTGCCACTAGGCCACCAGACCTCCCTGCTGAGTTCATTTTCCAACTTTTAACAGAAAAATAGCTCCTGCTTCCCTGTACTTGTTTGACTAGATGTCCTTCTATTTTTATAATAATGGTCTCGTAGTATTATTTTCCTTTAGAGGCAAAGCTAGTTCACTCAGCATAATGCTCTCTAGTCTCTCCCAAGTTATGTAGTATTTTTTGTAATCATTTCTCTTGAGTGCTGCATAGTATTCCATTATGTGAATGTACCACACTTTCTCCATCCATTCAGTTATAGGGAGATAATTATGCAACAATGAATGAATTTTTTTTAAAGTGAATTGGGATAGGGTAAAGGGAGGGGAGTGGGGGTAAAATACACAACTATGAATGAGTGAAAGTCTAACTTTTCTCTAAACTTTCATTAAAATCACAATGAAAAAAAATTTATTTTAAAAATAGCTTCTGAAGTCTTCTTTAAACCATCATTAACTGAACTAGTTAAAAAATATCTGACTTGAACATTAGTGTCTTTTGGGAACTATCTATATAGTTCAAATTTATAAAAGCAACTTAAAGGTTAGATAAGGCTCTTAGGGGGCATTGACTTTATATTGAGGAACATCTCAAGGAAACAAAAAGAAAATTCTTGCAGAACTCAAGGAGACTAGTCAATTTCACCTGGATTATGTGCACAGAAATGGGTTATGCTTTGCATTGTATTCTATGTATATTCCAATGGTGCTGTCTATATGGAGTTGTGCAGATGATTCAAACGCTGTCCAACTCTATTCAAAGGCCCATGGTTTGAACCTGCCAGCAGCCCCACGGGAGAAGAATGGCTGATCTCTTGCCATATCATTAGTGTCTCTGAAAACCTGCTGGAAGTCAAAGGCTGTGCTACTCTGGTGGTTCAAATCCACTAGTAGCTCCTTTGGAGAAAGATAGAATAATTTTCTCCTGTGCCATTTATAGCCATGGATACCCACGTGGATACCCGTGGCAGGTCAGTTATGAGTCTGTTGCTGTTTGATAACAATGAGTTCCGTTTGAGCTGAGTTTTCTCTGTTTATTTTGAACAACAAAACCAACATGCTTGCTGGCCTCTGTTAAAGGTTTTGAGTTAACACATGAGTGCTTGTCGATACTTCTCTGCTGACATGGTCTGGTGACCTCTTGCCATCTTGCAGACCATCAAGCCTTCAGACATCGCAACTGTCCGCACCCTGGGCCGCCCCCCACACCTCATCATGAGGATCATGGACTGCGTGCTGCTATTGTTTCAAAGGAAAGTCAACGTGGTGAAAGTGGACCTGGAGAAAAGTTGTACCATTCCTTCCTGGCAGGAATCTTTAAAGCTGATGACAGCAGGGAACTTTCTACAGAACCTACAGGTTGGTGGTTCAATAATGCCGTGCCAAGAGGAGGCTTAGCTTCACTGGAGCGTCAGAGTCCTTGAATAAAACATAGGCACTGAGCTGATGCGTCTGAAAATACTGCTTTGGTCTTTCTCAGTATTCCTAGAAGTTGTAGTCATGAGAGTTAATGAGACAACACAAAGAGAAGGAGGAGAGTAGTAAGTGGAGTCTGAAGGTTCCTAACTGGTGAGAAGCGAGGGGATAAAGTGAAGGATATATATGGAAGTTATCAGAGATATGAGAAGACCAAGAGACTGAAGTGAAGAGGCAAAGGGAGAAGGGAGTTTTTAAAATGAAGAAGGAATCCAGAGTAGGTTTAATTGAAAACTCCCTTGCAGTGTTTTCAGATGCATCACTTCAATCCCTATGGAATGGTCAACTAACATGAAGAAGACAGTTCGTATCACTGAACTGTACATGTGAAAACTGGAAGACTGTAGGAATGACATGTTTTGTTACTTCTGCATTCACACACACACACACAGAGAGAGAGAGAGAGAGAGAGAGAGAGAGATTGGAAGTGGGCAAGTTAGACTTTTGTGGACTGAGATACAGCATGTGATGTAGAGTAGAGGTAGAACTAATTAGGAATATTCAACCCACATCCATTTCTCAAACTAGAACTTTAGTGCTAACTTTCATTCCATATTCAATCTAGTGTCTCTTAAGTAACTGTTAGTACTGTAGCATTTTCTGAGCCGTTCTGTTATAGATATTATAGTAAATCACTTATGAAACTACTGCTACAGCATTTAGATTTGACCTAGATAACAGTGATGTTGTCGTTGCTGATTGCCTTTGAGTAGAGCATGACTCATAGCGACCCTGTGAACCAAAAGCTTGAAGCCCCTCTACAACTATCGACATTTACAGAGGTTAATGATGAGACAGTATGAATTTACTGTTAGTGGGAAGCGACGTGTTGGTGCACAAAAACAGTGGTGTGCTAAGTGCCACAATGGAAGTTTATTGTACTGTTTGAGTGGCGAGAAGGTTTTGATTAACTCTGTGTGTGGCACTCTGACAATGGGAATAAGAGTGGACAGATGGACCAGGCTTTACAGAAAACTGTGAAAATGGAATTGTGCTTTGAATAAGGTTCTGGCAGGTGACACCAGGCTGGTGTCAATGCTGTTCTTGAAAATTCCTTTATGTTTGTCTTTATGCCATTGTCATCCTTCAGTTACTTCCAGACATTTGTTTTTAAGTTTTGGTGTTTTTTGTGTTTTTTTTTTTTTTTAATTTCTCTATCCTTCAGTGCTTAAGAGTGCAAATAGTTTAAAAAGTGAATTGAAAGAGGTTTAAATGAGGAAATGAGCATAAATTCAAAACTTGTTAGGTGTAAAATACATTCAGAGGGCTTGAATGAGACCAGGTGTCACTTGGCTAAGTATCATAAGCCCAGAGAGATGAGTTAATTCTTGAAGGAAATGATATTGGGCTTGTATCAAATTCAGCTGCTTTGATTCAGTAAGCTACTTCAGTTCAATAAGGATATCTGAAAATTTTTACATGGTATCTATGTCTCCATAAAAAGAACTTTTCAACAGCCTAATGAGTAATAGCTAGCAGTTTTTCAGCAACAGAAATGGGGTGGATGAGCCCAAAGACATATCTGATTCTTGGATTAAAATTCTATTCGTTTTTTTTTTTTAAAAGGTTTAAATGAGAGTTTATTCTCTACATCTTGGATGTTTTGTGAGCACTTTTATTTATAGAATTATTTAGTTGTTAAATGTCTTTCCATGTTAAAAACGTTTAATGATTCTCCTTTTAAAAAATTATCAAAGATCACTTTCAAATATTCCAATTCCATTATTTGAATAGTTTTCCCTTTAGTTGCAGGGAGGAGTTTTTAATCCGTTTCTGTTCCTGCTTTTAAATTTTGTATCCCTGGAAGACAATCATTCAAACTCCTGATAGTTCTGTGATTAAAATTTAATTCACCAGCCTCAGGCCTAATATGCAAGTTATTAGCTTTACATTTCAGGTGATTTTAATAGTACTTCCGTCCGAATTTATTTAGCACTTTATTGACCCTAAATGTTTAAACATATACATCTTTAAGCTGAATATGCCTTTATGTTTGTTTTTCATTGCTGGTTTTATGTATTCTGTAGGTCATTTATTTAGGATTAATACCATTAAGTTTTTCTTGCTTTGAGAATTCTAATAATTATATTAGCATTCACCACCTAAATAATTTAATCTTTTTTATGAATTCCAGACCATTTCTCCAGGCTTGGCACTTCTTGACTATGCAAAGTAACTTGTTTTGTAACATATACTTCTTTGCTATTAGTTCATACTGTGATGTCACCCCAGGACCTTTGCATAAAAAAATCCTGAACCATTGTTAAAATATGATGTCATTCACCCAACTTTGGCTGTTTCCTGGTTCCAAACTGACTGGCAAATGCGAGTGTAATGACCTCATGGAAAGAAGGATTCTGACTTTATCTGACTGCTTTCTTTCCTAGCAATTCCCCAAAGACACAATCAATGAAGAAGTGATAGAATTTTTGAATCCTTACTTTGAAATGGCAGACTACAACAACGAAACGGCTAAACGCGTGTGTGGGAATGTGGCCGGTCTTTGTTCCTGGACCAAAGCCATGGCTTCCTTTTTTTCCATCAACAAAGAGGTGTTGCCTCTGAAGGTAAGCCTCCCAGGTAGAAGTGCTTGAAATGAACCTGCTCAGGGTCTCTAGGTCAACTGGTCTTATCTCTTCACCACAGCACGGGAGCGCTCAGCCTCTGTGCTATTGTACTCGGGTCCACAGGGAGAGTGAAGCCCAGCAAAGCCAAGCTCCGATGCGCCTTTCTTCCCTGTAATCCTTCTTCAATCAGAATTGCATGAGCCTTTAAGCATGGACTTTCTATAACGATACTAAGTCTATTGCGTGCTGCTGGATATTTTTTCAGCTACAATGTCAACGTAAAATAAAAACCACAAAAAACCCCCACAACACTATAGCACTATAAAATTATAGGAATATAGAAGAGGTTCCTATAACATTCAAGATTTCCTGCCAGGGAACTGAATCAGTAAGGCAGGGTCAAGAAATATGATGTTAGTGGCTAGAAAATGCCCCAGACTTGTGCTTTCATTTTTAATAGGATATGAAAAAGCACTCCTCTTCTCTTCATCCTTCAGAATCTTAGTATCACCTATTTGTCTTTATTGCAACTTTGAGACTGCATCTTACATTTATCCTTGAGTGATTTCACTTTACTCTTTATTGGTGAATGTTCACTATGGAAAACACAAAGTTTTCAACAAATGAAGACACAAATACTTTGTTTTTGAAAACCAAATATTGATGCCTCAAAATACATCTATAGATTGATTTGGTATTTTGTTTATCTAGAAGCTTGCTCTCTGAAACATTAACCAAAATCCACGTAACTTGTAAACTAACTTGGAAACATGTAAACAACTCAAGTAAGTACAATCATCATGATAATGATCAAAGGTAGACGAAATGACAGCACAGATGGAATATAATGTTCTTTTTATCCATTACCATACTATAAGGGGCTCTGATGGCTTAGTGGTAAGGAATTTTGCTGCTAATTGAAAGACATGAAGTTCAAATCCCCCAGATGCTCTGCCGGAGAAGGATGACCAGTCTCCTCCTATGCCCCTTCCTGCTTCTGAAAACCCAATGGAGAATCAGCTATGAGTTGGTTCCAGCTCTATGGTACATAACAACCATTGCCATACTGCAATTAGTTTTATGGTAGTTGAGCCTTCTGGGGCTTTGTTGTTGCTGTTGTTTTTGTTATGTGCTGTCAAGTCACCTGAAACTCATAGCGACCCTATATACAGCAGCTCTGAAGCCTGCCCTGTCCTGAGCCAGTCTCACTGACTCTGATACTCTTATCTCCAGTGCCTTAGTTACTGCATCAATCCATGTCATCTGGGGTCTTCCTCTCTTGTGCTGTTCCTCCACTCTCTGAGCATGATGTCCTTCTCCAAGGGTTGATTCCTCCTGGCCACATGGCCAAAGTATGTGAGAAGAAGCTTCAAAATCTTAGCCTCCAAAGAGAAACTTGGTTGCACTCTCTCTAAGACAGACCTGTTTATTTTCTTGGTGGTACAAGACTCATCTCCATAATCACAACTCAAAGGCATCAATGCTGCTTCTATCCTCCTTAGTCATTATCCAGCTCTCTGATGCATAGCAAATAATTGTGAAGATTGTGGACTGGCTCAGGTGCACCTTCGTCTCTAGACTAACATCGTTGCTTTTCAGTACTCTGGAAAGGTCCCTGACAACAGATTTACCTAATTCCCTGACTGCTGGTGCCCAAAGTGTTGATTGTGGAGCTGAGCACATTGTAACTGTTAACAATCTCAGTCTCTTCTCCATCCATCATGGTACTGCCAATTGGCCCAGTGGTGAGAATCTTTATCTTCTTGATGTTGAGCTCCAATTCACATTGAAAACTATAGTCCTTGACCTTCTGCAGCAAGTACTTCAGGTCCTCCTCAGTTTCAGCAAGCAAGCTTGTGTTAACTGCATAATGTAGGTAGTTGATGAGTCCTCCTCTAATCCTGATGTCACCTTCCTCCTCATAAAGTCTAGCCTCTCAAATTATCTGTTCTGCATAAAGATTGAAAAGATATGGAGACAGGACACATCCCTGATATACTCTCTTCCTAATGTTGAACCATGCAGTGTTTCCTTGCTCTGTTCTGAGGACTGCTTCCTGGTTCAAGTATAGGTCTTGCATAAACATAAGTAAGTGTTCTGGGATTCCCATTCTCCTTAAGGTTAGTCACAATATGCTGTGATCCACACAGTCAAATGCCTTTGTATAGTCAGTGAAACACAGATAGATATCCTTCTGGTAAGCTTTGGAGTTTTAGGGCAACTTAAATGAACCAAGACATTTTTGGCTCAGAGAGTTTTAGAACCAATAACTGATGTCTTAATGCTGGACTTCATATGTAGTGGAATAATTGAAGAATATGGCAAAGCTAAAAAAAAATCCTTATATTGCTTGATTAGGTGGCCTTGTAGCAAGAAGCTGCACTGCAATCCCAAAGACACATTGTTTGAGGCCTTCAGCTGCTCTGTGGGAGAAGGTCAGGCAGTCATCTCCTGTGCGATTCATTGCCTTTGAAAACCTGCTGGAGGGTCAGCTATGAGTCACTTCTGACTCCGTGGTACACAACAACAGCAACATATCAAATAAAACGTATAGAATATCATCTGCTAACTTTCCCAGTAAGCTTTCAGTGTCTGATAGGTAATTACATTTGAATAATGGGATGTCATTTTTTATTTTTAGTTATCTTACATTTCATTTTCTCGTAATTTCGGAAAGTGTTGTTGTTAGGTGCCACTGACTATAGTATGACTTATAGCAATCTTACGCATGTCAGACCTGAACCCTGTCCTGTCCTGTGCCACCCTCGTCATCTGTGACATCCTTGATTCAATGTTACTGTCACTGTGTCAATCCGTCTCGTTGAGGGTATTCCCCTTCTTTGCTGACCCTGCTCTTTTCCAAGTATTGTGTCTTTCTCTAAGGACTAGCCCTGCCTAACAACCCGCCCAAAGCATATGAGATGAAGATTCACCATCCTTCCCTCTGAGGAACATCCTGGTGGTACTCTCTCCAAGACATGTTTGCTTGCTCTTTGGAAATTAGAGGTCCACAATTATAGGTGTAACGATTTGTTGCTGTTGTGTATCATCGAGTTGGAACCAACCCACAGCTCACCCTCCATTGGGTTTTCCAAGGTAGTAAATTTTACAGGAGGAGATTGCCCATCCTCCTCCCATGGAGCAGCTGGTGGATTCAGCCTTGTGCGTTTGGGTTGCCAGTGCAGCTCTTTACCACTAGGCCACCAGAGCTCCTTTTACAGGGGTAAGGATTGGCAGGGGAATATTCTCTCTGAATGTTCTAGGAAAGAAGTCTTCCTTCCTTTCCTTAGCTTTTTGTTGTGGTTGACTTAACTTGATGTTACTTGGCTTAGAGATAAATCACTCTAATTTACACCTCTGTCTTCCAAGCTGGAAATGCCGGATATCAGCTTTGTGGTGTCATAGATGATCTTATTTCATTCTCGTGAAACAAAAAACAAACAAACAAAAGCCCTTAAGGCTGTTGTTTTTCCATTTATTTTTTTTTTAAATGGGGAAAGTGAAATTTACAGAGATTAAGTAACCTGCAGAAGTCCTGGAATTCCTAGCTTTAATATTTTAACTTCAAGGATTTCATATCTTTGCTGAAGAAAAAGAATTCTGGTGGCATAATGTGTTACGTGTCAGGCTTCTAAGTGAAAAACCATCAATTTTAATTCGCCAATTACTGCACAGGAGAAATGTGAACGGTCTCCTCCTACGAAGATTTATAGCTTCAAAAACCCTAAGGAGGGCTGTCATGAATTGAAACTAATACAGCAGCAGTGAATTTGGGGCTGAAAAGAATTCAGAAGCAATTTCAGCAGAACACTGACAAGGAACTGTCAGGAATTAAGCCAGATTCAGAAGAGAATGTGCAATGAAGAATCTCATTGCTGGTGTCAGATGGAGCTTGGCTAAAAGCAGAGAAGGCCACAAAGATGTTTACTTGTTTTTCATTGACTAAGCAGAGGCATTTGACTGAGGGGTTCATAACAAATTATGGATAACACTCAGAAATTCTAAAACACTTTCTTGTGCTCATTCAGAACTTATATGTAGGTCAAGGTGAAGCTTTTCAAACCAAACAAGAGCATATTCTATGGCTTAAAAATCAGGAAAAGGGTGAGCTCTGGTGGCCTAGGGGCAAGAAGCTGCACTAAAATCCCAGAGGTGCACAGTTCAAATCCACCAGATGCTCTGCTGGAGAAAAAGGGACAATCTCCTACTGTGCCAGTTAGATGTGATTTGACAGTATGTTGTTGTTATGTGCCGTCGAGTTGTTTCCGACTCATAGCGACCCTATGCACAACAGCCCTAAACCCAGCTCTATCCTGCGCCAACCGTACCGCCTCTGACACACCCATCCCGATTACCCCAGTCACCGAGTCAATCCATCTCATAGAGGGTCTTCCCCTCTTGTGCCTTCCCTCCACCCTCCGAAGCATGATGTCCCTCTCCAAGGACCC